CAAATCTGGGAATAATTTTGTGTATGGAGTTTGGGGGATGTTGATTCACCATTAGGATACAAAATCTCGACAAAAAAAATTTTGAAATTTCATCGTTTTAGTAAGAAGGTACCTACCTTATGATTTAGATTTTGGAAAACTTTGAGAGGTCATAACTTTTTTTCTATTATAGGTAGAAAGCTGAAATTTTCCATGATTCCTATTCATCTAGAGGACTACAATCCCTGAAAATTTCAGCTCATTTGCTCTTATAGTTCCTGAGATAAAATCGTGTTAAGCAATTTGGGGTGATTTATCAATTTTTCAATTGTTCTGAGTGCCTTTTCTCATAGATTTCGGCTTCAAATCTGAGAATAATTTTGTGTATGGAGTTTGGGGGATGTTGATTCACCATTAGGATACAAAATCTCGACAAAAAAAATTTTGAAATTTCATCGTTTTAGTAAGAAGGTACCTACCTTATGATTTAGATTTTGGAAAACTTTGAGAGGTCATAACTTTTTTTCTATTATAGGTAGAAAGCTGAAATTTTCCATGATTCCTATTCGTCTAGAGGACTACAATCCCTGGAAATTTCAGCTCATTTGCTCTTATAGTTCCTGAGATAAAATCGTGTTAAGCAATTTGGGGTGATTTATCAATTTTTCAATTTTTCTGAGTGCCTTTTTTCATAGATTTCGGCTTCAAATCTGGGAATAATTTTGTGTATGGAGTTTGGGGGATGTTGATTCACCATTAGGATACAAAATCTCGACAAAAAAAATTTTGAAATTTCATCGTTTTAGTAAGAAGGTACCTACCTTATGATTTAGATTTTGGAAAACTTTGAGAGGTCATAACTTTTTTTCTATTATAGGTAGAAAGCTGAAATTTTCCATGATTCCTATTCGTCTAGAGGACTACAATCCCTGGAAATTTCAGCTCATTTGCTCTTATAGTTCCTGAGATAAAATCGTGTTAAGCAATTTGGGGTGATTTATCAATTTTTCAATTTTTCTGAGTGCCTTTTTTCATAGATTTCGGCTTCAAATCTGAGAATAAATTAGTGTATGGAGTTTGGGGGATGTTGATTCACCATTAGGATACAAAATCTCGACAAAAAAAATTTTGAAATTTCATCGTTTTAGTAAGAAGGTACCTACCTTATGATTTAGATTTTGGAAAACTTTGAGAGGTCATAACTTTTTTTCTATTATAGGTAGAAAGCTGAAATTTTCCATGATTCCTATTCGTCTAGAGGACTACAATCCCTGGAAATTTCAGCTCATTTGCTCTTATAGTTCCTGAGATAAAATCGTGTTAAGCAATTTGGGGTGATTTATCAATTTTTCAATTATTCTGAGTGCCTTTTTTCATAGATTTCGGCTTCAAATCTGGGAATAATTTTGTGTATGGAGTTTGGGGGATGTTGATTCACCATTAGGATACAAAATCTCGACAAAAAAAATTTTGAAATTTCATCGTTTTAGTAAGAAGGTACCTACCTTATGATTTAGATTTTGGAAAACTTTGAGAGGTCATAACTTTTTTTCTATTATAGGTAGAAAGCTGAAATTTTCCATGATTCCTATTCATCTAGAGGACTACAATCCCTGAAAATTTCAGCTCATTTGCTCTTATAGTTCCTGAGATAAAATCGTGTTAAGCAATTTGGGGTGATTTATCAATTTTTCAATTGTTCTGAGTGCCTTTTCTCATAGATTTCGGCTTCAAATCTGAGAATAATTTTGTGTATGGAGTTTGGGGTATGCTGATTGACCATTAGGATACAAAATCTCGACAAAAAAAATTTTGAAATTTCATCGTTTTAGTAAGAAGGTACCTACCTTATGATTTAGATTTTGGAAAACTTTGAGAGGTCATAACTTTTTTTCTATTATAGGTAGAAAGCTGAAATTTTCCATGATTCCTATTCATCTAGAGGACTACAATCCCTGAAAATTTCAGCTCATTTGCTCTTATAGTTCCTGAGATAAAATCGTGTTAAGCAATTTGGGGTGATTTATCAATTTTTCAATTGTTCTGAGTGCCTTTTCTCATAGATTTCGGCTTCAAATCTGAGAATAATTTTGTGTATGGAGTTTGGGGGATGTTGATTCACCATTAGGATACAAAATCTCGACAAAAAAAATTTTGAAATTTCATCGTTTTAGTAAGAAGGTACCTACCTTATGATTTAGATTTTGGAAAACTTTGAGAGGTCATAACTTTTTTTCTATTATAGGTAGAAAGCTGAAATTTTCCATGATTCCTATTCGTCTAGAGGACTACAATCCCTGGAAATTTCAGCTCATTTGCTCTTATAGTTCCTGAGATAAAATCGTGTTAAGCAATTTGGGGTGATTTATCAATTTTTCAATTTTTCTGAGTGCCTTTTCTCATAGATTTCGGCTTCAAATCTGAGAATAAATTAGTGTATGGAGTTTGGGGGATGTTGATTCACCATTAGGATACAAAATCTCGACAAAAAAAATTTTGAAATTTCATCGTTTTAGTAAGAAGGTACCTACCTTATGATTTAGATTTTGGAAAACTTTGAGAGGTCATAACTTTTTTTCTATTATAGGTAGAAAGCTGAAATTTTCCATGATTCCTATTCGTCTAGAGGACTACAATCCCTGGAAATTTCAGCTCATTTGCTCTTATAGTTCCTGAGATAAAATCGTGTTAAGCAATTTGGGGTGATTTATCAATTTTTCAATTGTTCTGAGTGCCTTTTCTCATAGATTTCGGCTTCAAATCTGAGAATAATTTTGTGTATGGAGTTTGGGGTATGCTGATTGACCATTAGGATACAAAATCTCCACAAAAAAAATTTTGAAATTTCATCGTTTTAGTAAGAAGGTACCTACCTTATGATATAGATTTTGGAAAACTTTGAGAGGTCATAACTTTTTCTCTATTATAGGTAGAAAGCTGAAATTTTCCATGATTCCTATTCGTCTAGAGGACTACAATCCCTGGAAATTTCAGCTCATTTGCTCTTATAGTTCCTGAGATAAAATCGTGTTAAGCAATTTGGGGTGATTTATCAATTTTTCAATTGTTCTGAGTGCCTTTTCTCATAGATTTCGGCTTCAAATCTGAGAATAATTTTGTGTATGGAGTTTGGGGTATGCTGATTGACCATTAGGATACAAAATCTCCACAAAAAAATTTTTGAAATTTCATCGTTTTAGTAAGAAGGTACCTACCTTATGATATAGATTTTGGAAAACTTTGAGAGGTCATAACTTTTTCTCTATTATAGGTAGAAAGCTGAAATTTTCCATGATTCCTATTCGTCTAGAGGACTACAATCCCTGGAAATTTCAGCTCATTTGCTCTTATAGTTCCTGAGATAAAATCGTGTTAAGCAATTTGGGGTGATTTATCAATTTTTCAATTGTTCTGAGTGCCTTTTCTCATAGATTTCGGCTTCAAATCTGAGAATAATTTTGTGTATGGAGTTTGGGGTATGCTGATTGACCATTAGGATACAAAATCTCCACAAAAAAATTTTTGAAATTTCATCGTTTTAGTAAGAAGGTACCTACCTTATGATATAGATTTTGGAAAACTTTGAGAGGTCATAACTTTTTCTCTATTATAGGTAGAAAGCTGAAATTTTCCATGATTCCTATTCGTCTAGAGGACTACAATCCCTGGAAATTTCAGCTCATTTGCTCTTATAGTTCCTGAGATAAAATCGTGTTAAGCAATTTGGGGTGATTTATCAATTTTTCAATTGTTCTGAGTGCCTTTTCTCATAGATTTCGGCTTCAAATCTGAGAATAATTTTGTGTATGGAGTTTGGGGTATGCTGATTGACCATTAGGATACAAAATCTCCACAAAAAAAATTTTGAAATTTCATCGTTTTAGTAAGAAGGTACCTACCTTATGATTTAGATTTTGGAAAACTTTGAGAGGTCATAACTTTTTCTCTATTATAGGTAGAAAGCTGAAATTTTCCATGATTCCTATTCGTCTAGAGGACTACAATCCCTGGAAATTTCAGCTCATTTGCTCTTATAGTTCCTGAGATAAAATCGTGTTAAGCAATTTGGGGTGATTTATCAATTTTTCAATTTTTCTGAGTGCCTTTTCTCATAGATTTCGGCTTCAAATCTGAGAATAAATTAGTGTATGGAGTTTGGGGGATGTTGATTCACCATTAGGATACAAAATCTCGACAAAAAAAATTTTGAAATTTCATCGTTTTAGTAAGAAGGTACCTACCTAATGATTTAGATTTTGGAAAACTTTGAAAGGTCATAACTTTTTTTCTATTATAGGTAGAAAGCTGAAATTTGCAGTGATTCCTATTCTACTAAAGGACTACAATCCCTGAAAATTTCAACTCATTTGCACGTATAGTTCCTGAGATAAAATCGTGTTAAGCAATTTGGGGTGATTTATCAATTTTTTAATTTTTCTGAGTGCCTTTTTTCATAGATTTCGGCTTCAAATCTGAGAATAATTTTGTGTATGGAGTTTGGGGTATGCTGATTGACCATAAGGATACAAAATCTCCACAAAAAAAAAATTGAAATTTCATCGTTTTAGTAGGAAGGTACCCCCCTTATGATTTAGATTTTGGAAATCTTTGAAAGGTCATAACTTTTTTTCTATTATAGGTAGAAAACTGAAATGTTCACTGAATTATATCCCTTTCAAGAGACTACAACCCCTGAACATTTCAGCTCATTTGCACCTATAGTTCCTGAAATAAAATCGTGTCAAGCAATTTGGGCTGATTTTTCAATTTTTCAATCTGGCATAAATTCCCTTTCTCCCTAACAAAATCAAGAGCCGGTAATAATCAACATTTGATTATAAGGTACTCTCATTCCATCCCCTAGAACTGTACCAATTATTGCACTGACCTTGAACCATCTTCAATAACTTAGTACTGACCCTAATGCATCATCTGCTCTGACCTTGCACCAATAACTGCAGTTGCAGCATAATAAAGTTGAGTATTTTAAAGCATAAGTTGTAGTCGAAATTTAATTCTAGTACCAACCCACGATGCAAGTGGCCTGAATCAAAAACTTCAACTGGAAATTATGGCCGGATCGTTTTCAAATATGAACTTGACCAATCCGATTAAAGGGCTGGTCAGCAAGAAACGGAACCGTTACAAACAAGACGGATTCAATTTGGATTTAACTTGTATCCTTTTTATTTAAAATCTTATAGTGAAATCCATAGGTAAGTTCAGTGCGCACTGAGTGTATTTGTGTACTTTTCTACAAGTGACAAAAATACATGTTTTTTGCACTAATTCTAGTCATTATTGTTACAAAATTATTGCCTTGACAAACCAATCTTAGATATTACCGACAACATTATAGCAATGGGTTATCCTGCCTCGAATATTGAAAGCGTGTATAGAAACAACATTGACGATGTGGTAAAATTTCTGGACCAAAAACATCCGGATCACTATATGGTTTACAATTTGTGCTCAGAACGAAGCTATGACAAATCCAAGTTTAATAATAGAGTAAAAGATTTCCCGTTCGATGACCACAATCCTCCAAAAATTGAGTCAGTCAAGCCTTTTTGTCAGAACGTTAAAGAGTGGCTAGAAAAAGACAGTCAAAATGTTGCAGTGGTGCATTGTAAAGCTGGCAAAGGCCGGACTGGTACGATGATTTGCTGTTATTTGTTGCACAGTGGCAAATGTTCAACTGCAGATCAAGCCTTAAGTCTTTATGGTGAGATTCTATTTTTAATAATTGAATAATTTTATGTATAAAACTGTTATAGGTTCAAAAAGGACTCAAGATACCAAAGGTGTGACTATACCTAGTCAAGTGCGATACGTCAGATATTATGAGCAATTAGTAAACAATTGTATACCTTATAAACCAAACACTTTGTATATTAGGGAGTTTGTGTTCGATCCGGTACCGTCATTTATGAGCGGCCCCGCGCACCTTTCCTTCGCAGTGTCCGAATCGTTTCCGGGCGACAAAAACGACAAGTTGAGTCAAAAGTTCAAAAGCGACGTCTACAAAGTGCCTGTGGACAACCGAAACGGTTTCACATTGAAGCTGGATCAGTGTTTTAGATTAACGGGGGACGTTAAGATTGAATTTTACAATAAAATAATGATGCGGAAAGAGAAACTTTTTCATTTTTGGTTCAACACGTTTTTTGTGGGACTTTTGGGAGCTGGCGAAGTGAATGGTTATGATAACAGAGATATCGAGGACTGCTATAGTTTAGTTTTTCGTAAATGCGAGTTGGACAAGTTGAGTAAAAAGGACAAACAGCATAAAATTTTTAATGAGAATTTTAAGGTATTATACTTATTTGAGTTACATTACATACATTATAGAAAGTGTCCAAAGATTCGATGGTTTTGGGGGGGTTTCAGGTATATCTAGAGGAGTTGGAAAAGATCTGACCCCCACTACTAGGAGTTTTTGAAAAGTTTGGAGTTTGGCAGGGGGTCTATAACTTTTTTATTTACGAAGATTTTGTCAACTTTTCCCCTTGTAGCCTTGAAACGAATAGAGATGCAGGTTTCACTGGTCAACTTTTCTTGAAAATTGAGGCTCGCAAGTGGGGGTCAGATTTTTTGCAGCTCCTCTACAAAATACACAAAAACTTTGGACACCCTGTACATATTTTTATCTCAATTGAAATTCTTCTCAACAGTTAACAATGAAGGTGCAAAAATTGTCCAGATCAGACCACGTCCCAGTGCCTCCTGTCAGTCCTGCCACCTACCAACCAAGGCCGGACACTACACCAAGTGAAAGCTCAGCAGGTTCATCAGACGAATCGGACGAGGATGATTGGGATTCGGGTGAGCCAAGTTTGCCTCTAGTTAAATCGAATCAGTGATATAATTAATTTAGTTGTAATTTAATTTTGGTAGCGAAACGACCAATGAGAATGTTTGGTATTCTTTGTTTGTTTATTGGCAAGATGGTTTCTTAACAAAGCTATTATGAGGTTTGTTAAGAAATTCGAATCAGTGCTACCAACCTATGAAAAATAGAAATTAATAAGGGAATATTTTTTTTTTACATCAAGGCCCGGTTTATTTGTCTATATCTACAATCCTATTAAGATTATAGATTGCTTTTCGTGATGTTACAAGGGTATTGAAGCTTGACACTAATAGGCAATTTTTGTTTTGTATTGGGCTGTCATTATCATTAGCTGTCTTTCTTCGTTTCTTTAAGTTATATTTTTTGTTTTCTCTCTCGTGTAACAAAATGTGACACAAGTTGATTTTTAATCTAAATTTTGTTAAAAACTTCAAACTTAATTTATTCAAAAATTATAAATCTGGGAATATTGTGAATCACAGGCTATTTAGTGCCTAATAAGAGCTACAAATGTTGAAAATTTCAATGCAATTTGCTCAAAGATTACCGAGCAATCGAGGTTTGAAGATTTTGAAATCAGAATTCAAATGAAAAACTCGATTTTTTTATTTTTCAGTTTTGCTCAATTTTGACTTTTTAAATGGATAGAGCGGGTCAAAATTAGTGGGAAACAACCCTAACATCATTTCCAAATCGCTATTTTGAAGCAGAAACAAAATTGAATAGGAAATCCTGTTTTTGACTCGGGAAAATTTTCAAAATCTTGACATGGTCATGAACAATTGCCCATATCTTTATTAAATTTCAAGCAAATTGAAATAAACCATATACCATTGGAAAGAGCATTAAATTCTCTATAAATCTGTGCAAAATTGAGTTTGATTGCTCAAATAGTTTTTGAGTAATTGAGCCTCAAAGTTGACTTTCAGTTCAAATTTTGTCAAAAACTTCAAACTCAATTTGCTCACAAATTATAAATCTGCGAATATTGTAAATTACGAGCCATTTAGAACTTAATGGGAGCTACAAATGCTTAAAATTTCAATGCAATTTGCCTAATGGTTACCGAGCAATTGAGGTTTGAATATTTTGAAGTCAGAATTCAAAGGGGTTACCCTTATGAAAAACTCGATTTTTTTATTTTTCAGTTTTGCTCAATTTTGACTTTTTAAATAGATAGAGCGGATCAAAATTAGTGGAAAACAACCCTGATATTAATTCAAAATGGCAATTTTAATAAGAACCAAAAATATAAAGCAAATTATATTTTGAGCTGGGAAAATTTTGAAAATTTTGACATGGTCATCAACAATTGCCCATATCTTTGTTAAATTTTGAGCAAATTGAAATAAATCATATACCATTGGAAAGAGCATTAAATTCTCTATAAATCTGTGCAAAATTGAGTTTGATTGCTCAAATAGTTTTTGAGCAATTGAGCTTCAAAGTTGACTTTTAGTGCAAATTTTGTCAAAAACTTCAAACTCAATTTGCTCAAAAATTATAAATCTGGGAATATTCTAAATTATAGGCCATTTAGAGCTTCATAAGAGCTACAAATGCTTAAAATTTCAATGCAATTTGCCCAACGGTTGCTGAGCAATTGAGGTTTGAATATTTTGAAGTCAGAATTCAAAGGGGTTACCCTTATGAAAAACTCGATTTTTTTATTTTTCAGTTTTGCTCAATTTTGACTTTTTAAATAGATAGAGCGGATCAAAATTAGTGGAAAACAACCCTGACATCATTTCCAAATGGCTATTTTTAAACAGTAACAAAATTGAAAAGGAAATCCTATTTTTAGCTCTGGAAAATCTTCAAAATCTTGACATGGTCATGAGCAATTGCCCATATCTTTGTTAAATTTTGAGCAAATTGAAATAAATCATATACCATTGGAAAGAGCATTAAATTCTCTATAAATCTGTGCAAAATTGAGTTTGATTGCTCAAATAGTTTTTGAGCAATTGAGCTTCAAAGTTGTCTTTTAGTGCAAATTTTGTCAAAAACTTCAAACTCAATTTGTTCAAAAATTATAAATCTGGGAATATTCTAAATTATAGGCCATTTAGAGCTTCATAAGAGCTACAAATGCTTAAAATTTCAATGCAATTTGCCCAACGGTTGCCGAGCAATTGAGGTTTGAATATTTTGAAGTCAGAATTTAAAGGGGTTACCCTTATGAAAAACTCGATTTTTTTATTTTTCAGTTTTGCTCAATTTTGACTTTTTAAATAGATAGAGCGGATCAAAATTAGTGGAAAACAACCCTGATATTAATTCAAAATGGCAATTTTAATAAGAACCAAAAATATAAAGCAAATTATATTTTGAGCTGGGAAAATTTTGAAAATTTTGACATGGTCATCAACAATTGCCCATATCTTTGTTAAATTTTGAGCAAATTGAAATAAATTATATACCATTGGAAAGAGCATTAAATTCTCTATAAATCTGTGCAAAATTGAGTTTGATTGCTCAAATAGTTTTTGAGCAATTGAGCTTCAAAGTTGACTTTTAGTGCAAATTTTGTCAAAAACTTCAAACTCAATTTGCTCAAAAATTATTAATCTGGGAATATTGTAAATTACATGCCATTTAGAACTTAATGGGAGCTACAAATGCTGAAAATTTCAATGCAATTTGCCTAATGGTTACCGAGCAATCGAGGTTTGAAGATTTTGAAATCAGAATTCAAAGGAGGTACCCCTATGAAAAACTCGATTTTTTTATTTTTCAGTTTTGCTCAATTTTGACTTTTTAAATAGATAGAGCGGATCAAAATTAGTGGAAAGCAACCCTGATATTAATTCAAAATGGCAATTTTAATAAGAACCAAAAATATAAAGCAAATTATATTTTGAGCTGGGAAAATTTTGAAAATTTTGACATGGTCATCAACAATTGCCCAGATCTTTGTTAAATTTTGAGCAAATTGAAATAAATCATATACCATTGGAAAGAGCATTAAATTCTCTATAAATCTGTGCAAAATTGAGTTTGATTGCTCAAATAGTTTTTGAGCAATTGAGCTTCAAAGTTGACTTTTAGTGCAAATTTTGTCAAAAACTTCAAACTCAATTTGCTCAAAAATTATAAATCTGGGAATATTGTAAATTATAAGCCATTTAGAGCTTCATAAGAGCTACAAATGCTTAAAATTTCAATGCAATTTGCCCAACGGTTGCTGAGCAATTGAGGTTTGAATATTTTGAAGTCAGAATTCAAAGGGGTTAACCCTTATGAAAAACTCGATTTTTTTATTTTTCAGTTTTGCTCAATTTTGACTTTTTAAATAGATAGAGCGGATCAAAATTAGTGGAAAACAACCCTGATATTAATTCAAAATGGCAATTTTAATAAGAACCAAAAATATAAAGCAAATTATATTTTGAGCTGGGAAAATTTTGAAAATTTTGACATGGTCATCAACAATTGCCCATATCTTTGTTGAATTTTGAGCAAATTGAAATAAATCATATACCATTGGAAAGAGCATTAAATTCTCTATAAATCTGTGCAAAATTGAGTTTGATTGCTGAAATAGGTTTTGAGTAATTGAGCCTCAAAGTTGACTTTCAGTTCAAATTTTGTCAAAAACTTCAAACTCAATTTGCTCACAAATTATAAATCTGCGAATATTGTAAATTACGAGCCATTTAGAACTTAATGGGAGCTACAAATGCTTAAAATTTCAATGCAATTTGCCTAATGGTTACCGAGCAATTGAGGTTTGAATATTTTGAAGTCAGAATTCAAAGGGGTTACCCTTATGAAAAACTCGATTTTTTTATTTTTCAGTTTTGCTCAATTTTGACTTTTTAAATAGATAGAGCGGATCAAAATTAGTGGAAAACAATCCTGATATTAATTCCAAATGGCAATTTTAGGCAGAAGCAAAAATATAAAGAAAATTATATTTTGAGCTCGGAAAATTTTGAAAATCTTGACATGGTCATCAACAATTGCCCATATCTTTGTTAAATTTTGAGCAAATTGAAATAAATCATATACCATTGGAAAGAGCATTAAATTCTCTATAAATCTGTGCAAAATTGAGTTTAATTGCTCAAATAGTTTTTGAGCAATTGAGCTTCAAAGTTGACTTTTAGTGCAAATTTTGTCAAGAACTTCAAACTCAATTTGCTCAAAAATTATAAATCTGGGAATATTGTAAATTATAAGCCATTTAGAGCTTCATAAGAGCTACAAATGCTTAAAATTTCAATGCAATTTGCCCAACGGTTGCTGAGCAATTGAGGTTTGAATATTTTGAAGTCAGAATTCAAAGGGGTTACCCTTATGAAAAACTCGATTTTTTTATTTTTCAGTTTTGCTCAATTTTGACTTTTTAAATAGATAGAGCGGATCAAAATTAGTGGAAAACAATCCTGATATTAATTCCAAATGTTAATTTTAAGCAGAAGCAAAAATATAAAGAAAATTATATTTTGAGCTCGGAAAATTTTGAAAATCTTGACATGGTCATCAACAATTGCCCATATCTTTATTAAATTTCAAGCAAATTGAAATAAACCATATACCATTGGAAAGAGCATTAAATTCTCTATAAATCTGTGCAAAATTGAGTTTGATTGCTCAAATAGTTTTTGAGTAACTGAGCCTCAAAGTTGACTTTCAGTTCAAATTTTGTCAAAAACTTCAAACTCAATTTGCTCACAAATTATAAATCTGCGAATATTGTAAATTACGAGCCATTTAGAACTTAATGGGAGCTACAAATGCTTAAAATTTCAATGCAATTTGCCTAATGGTTACCGAGCAATTGAGGTTTGAATATTTTGAAGTCAGAATTCAAAGGGTTACCCTTATGAAAAACTCGATTTTTTATTTTTCAGTTTTGCTCAATTTTGACTTTTTAAATGGATAGAGCGGTTCAAATTTAGTGGAAAACAACTCTGATATTAATTCTAAATGGCAATTTTAGGCAGAAGCAAAAATATAAAGAAAATTATATTTTGAGCTCGGAAAATTTTGAAAATCTTGACATGGTCATCAACAATTGCCCATATCTTTGTTAAATTTTGAGCAAATTGAAATAAATCATATACCATTGGAAAGAGCATTAAATTCTCTATAAATCTGTGCAAAATTGAGTTTGATTGCTCAAATAGTTTTTGAGCAATTGAGCTTCAAAGTTGACTTTTAGTGCAAATTTTGTCAAAAACTTCAAACTCAATTTGTTCAAAAATTATAAATCTGGGAATATTCTAAATTATAGGCCATTTAGAGCTTCATAAGAGCTACAAATGCTTAAAATTTCAATGCAATTTGCCCAACGGTTGCCGAGCAATTGAGGTTTGAATATTTTGAAGTCAGAATTCAAAGGGGTTACCCTTATGAAAAACTCGATTTTTTTATTTTTCAGTTTTGCTCAATTTTGACTTTTTAAATAGATAGAGCGGATCAAAATTAGTGGAAAACAACCTGATATTAATTCAAAATGGCAATTTTAATAAGAACCAAAAATATAAAGCAAATTATATTTTGAGCTGGGAAAATTTTGAAAATTTTGACATGGTCATCAACAATTGCCCATATCTTTGTTGAATTTTGAGCAAATTGAAATAAATCATATATCATTGGAAAGAGCATTAAATTCTCTATAAATCTGTGCAAAATTGAGTTTGATTGCTCAAATAGTTTTTGAGCAATTGAGCTTCAAAGTTAACTTTTAGTGCAAATTTTGTCAAAAACTTCAAACTCAATTTGCTCAAAAATTATAAATCTGGGAATATTGTAAATTATAAGCCATTTAGAGCTTCATAAGAGCTACAAATGCTTAAAATTTCAATGCAATTTGCCCAACGGTTGCTGAGCAATTGAGGTTTGAATATTTTGAAGTCAGAATTCAAAGGGGTTACCCTTATGAAAAACTCGATTTTTTTATTTTTCAGTTTTGCTCAATTTTGACTTTTTAAATAGATAGAGCGGATCAAAATTAGTGGAAAACAATCCTGATATTAATTCCAAATGGCAATTTTAAGCAGAAGCAAAAATATAAAGAAAATTATATTTTGAGCTCGGAAAATTTTGAAAATCTTGACATAGTCATCAACAATTGCCCATATCTTTGTTAAATTTTGAGCAAATTGAAATAAATCATATACCATTGGAAAGAGCATTAAATTCTCTATAAATCTGTGCAAAATTGAGTTTGATTGCTCAAATAGTTTTTGAGCAATTGAGCTTCAAAGTTGACTTTTAGTGCAAATTTTGTCAAAAACTTCAAACTCAATTTGTTCAAAAATTATAAATCTGGGAATATTCTAAATTATAGGCCATTTAGAGCTTCATAAGAGCTACAAATGCTTAAAATTTCAATGCAATTTGCCCAACGGTTGCCGAGCAATTGAGGTTTGAATATTTTGAAGTCAGAATTTAAAGGGGTTACCCTTATGAAAAACTCGATTTTTTTATTTTTCAGTTTTGCTTAATTTTGACTTTTTAAATGGATAGAGCGGTTCAAATTTAGTGGAAAACAACTCTGATATTAATTCTAAATGGCAATTTTAGGCAGAAGCAAAAATATAAAGAAAATTATATTTTGAGCTCGGAAAATTTTGAAAATCTTGACATAGTCATCAACAATTGCCCATATCTTTGTTAAATTTTGAGCAAATTGAAATAAATCATATACCATTGGAAAGAGCATTAAATTCTCTATAAATCTGTGCAAAATTGAGTTTGATTGCTCAAATAGTTTTTGAGCAATTGAGCTTCAAAGTTGACTTTTAGTGCAAATTTTGTCAAAAACTTCAAACTCAATTTGTTCAAAAATTATAAATCTGGGAATATTCTAAATTATAGGCCATTTAGAGCTTCATAAGAGCTACAAATGCTTAAAATTTCAATGCAATTTGCCCAACGGTTGCTGAGCAATTGAGGTTTGAATATTTTGAAGTCAGAATTTAAAGGGGTTACCCTTATGAAAAACTCGATTTTTTTATTTTTCAGTTTTGCTCAATTTTGACTTTTTAAATGGATAGAGCGGTTCAAAGTTAGTGGAAAACAACTCTGATATTAATTCTAAATGGCAATTTTAGGCAGAAGCAAAAATATAAAGAAAATTATATTTTGAGCTCGGAAAATTTTGAAAATCTTGACATGGTCATCAACAATTGCCCATATCTTTGTTAAATTTTGAGCAAATTGAAATAAATTATATACCATTGGAAAGAGCATTAAATTCTCTATAAATCTGTGCACAATTGAGTTTGATTGCTCAAAAAGTTTGTGAGCAATTGAGCCTCAAAGTTGACTTTTAGTCTAAATTCCGTTAAACACAATTAGTTCAAAAACTATAAACTTGGGACTATTGTAAATTACAGATCATTTAGAGCCTAATAAGAGCTACAAATGCTAAAAATTTCAATGCAATTTGTCAAACGGTCATCCAGCAATTGAGGTTTGAAGGTTTTAAAATTAAAATTCAAAGGAGGTATCTGATACTTGGGGAGGAGAATGGAAAGTGATCTGAAAGATACGTCACGTCTTGGCACATTTCGTTACAGGAGAGAGAAAAAAAACAACGAGGAACAGAGAAAGACAGCCAATGATTGACATAAACCAAGCATTATAAATATTAAGCCCAGATTACATCTATATATTTCTATTTATGCATAAAAAAATACTTGAATGTAAAGCGGAAATATAAGCCGTGTATGCTCACGTAAAAAAAATTATGAATTTATAAATGCATAAATAAATATGCACAGATGTAATGCGTGTTTTATTTTCAAGCGCCGAGTACAAGATAAATAATTTACCAATATATAATCCTATTGGTCAACAAATAGCTGGTCAACCAATAGGATTGATGAAAAGCAGAAGGTGCATTAACTGATCCTAAAGCTTGGTTTATACATCTTCTAATAAACTTACTGGTAGAAGAACCATTGTCTCACTTTACAGTGAAAGAAAAAGCTTTCTATATCAATGATTCTTCTCAGATAGCAGGCTACCATATAAATTTACCAATCTATAATCCTATTACTTAGGATTTAGGTGCAGTAATCGGGCCTAAAGTAGGATAATTTGTAAAAAAAAAAACGCTTTTCGCTATATCATTTCATTATCTGTGTATCATTTAGTTGAATGTTTTGTGTGTGAATTTTTCTTGATGTGAGAAGCCTAGATGTGCTTTTGAAAATTTAGTATTCATTGTTTTATCAGTAAATCCTGCCAATTACAGCCAAGTTCACACTACCTGTGTACTTGGAAAATATTTGTCACTTGTGGTTCTGCACACCATTGCTTATTACTTACCAACTAAGCAAATATCTGTGCATTTGCCAAATACCAGGTGTCAAGTTATAAAGTACCACCTTTGTAACTTTTTTATGTACCATCAAAAATAAAAAAAGTTACAGGTGGTGGTACTTTATAACTTGACACCCTGTACAGGAGTAGTAAAAACCTGGCCTAAAGTTTCACCAAGATTTACTGAAAAAACACTTATTGTGGCTTGGCTTATTTAGAGTAAATTAAGGCTCCTCGCCTCAAAAAAAAAAAAAAAAAAAAACTGTACATTGAATCTTGGGCTCTTTCAATCCAGATCTGGACCTGTCCGACCCCAGAGGTGTAGGCTACCGCGTCTTGAGCGAGTGTGACCTTGAGAACCACACCACTGCCGAAATACTGATGGTGTGACCAGTAAGGAGTTTTGTTGTGTGATTTTTTTTTTTTTTTTTTGAGTTGAGTCAAGACAATCAATATGAACCCTTTGTATATCTTGAATAAAAATACACTAATACTTGTTTTTTGGTTTGACTTTTTGTATACTAACAAATCCCTAAAAAAAAATGGTGGCGGATCATAGAAAAAAAAAAGGTAAAAGATTTGTTTTGTTTTTCCAAAAAAAAAAAAAATATCCTATTCCTCTATTGTGGAATAATTAACTGTATAATTTTGCAGGGGAATCGACTTACCTATGATTGTGGGGCTCTACAGTGTGTCTCAAAAGGTGTAAATATCGTGTTTTGCATGTATGTATTTTTGTTTGTTTTTTGTATGTGACAAAGAAAAAAAAATCATTTCCTTATTAATTCATTTTTTACGCTTTTTTGCTTAAGGAGAAATTGTTTTGAAACAAAATAATGAAGTACAAAGTTGTTTTTGTTTTAATTGTTTTTTTTTTGATCTCAGTTAGAAATCTTGCCTGAGTGGCTGTTAAGTGTGTAATATATTAATATTAATGTGAAGACACCTAAATTCATTGTTTTTTCTTTTGACTAATTAGAATACTCATTTGTTTATTAATAAACCAATTGGGATTTTTTTAAATTTTGTATTTTCATTATCCCAATGTGTGATTTATGTACATTTTGTACATTGACCAAATAATGAGAGACAGATTTTTATAAATAATTAATTTCACGAAATTGTGATAGCGACACGATAATAACTTTTAGTGAATATTAATATTGACGGTCGTACTTTTGTGATAGGATATATTTTTTATAGAAATTATAATATAGGATGGTGTTGTAACAGAGAAGATATACATATTTTTGCAAAAACACCATCCTATGTTTTATACCCTCTTAGAGTTTATTACTTATTTTCTATAGTTACTAAGAATAAATTGATTGTTAGATATGCCTTGTGATACTGTTGGATCCGCTTAGAATGCCCTGTTCGCCATCTAGAGCGGATCCGATTTATAATTTAACATAAGTACAATAGAAGCCATTGGAAATACACTACTGTATTTTGATCTGAATGTAATCCAATGCAATAAATACATTGTTTAAAAATTGAATAATAATTTGTTTTTATTTTATCTTTATTTTGGGTCCCCATAGGTACAAATCCCAAGCAGGCAACCCAGATATGGATATTCAATTAGCACCAGGAGTTGAGGACTTCCAATTTAGGATCTTTGACAATGTTTGATTCTAGAGGTTTTAATGAATTTGATACCACCTTCTGCAGCTTCTCAAAAAACCCATTTTTTTGTTTGTGTTACGAAGAAAATATTATCCATATCTATGATTTTTTGGAATGTGGATGGGGCATTTTTTATTCCAAATGGTATTCGTAATAAACCATTTTTTTATGGAAAAAGCGGGGTTGAAAACATCTTTAGGGTCTATTTTTATTTGGTAATAGTATCAAGTCTGTTCCAACTTGTCAAAAAAACCCTCCATTAGATCTGACGTCATTCGTTTACCATTACCAGACAACTTATTAACTTAAGAAGCTTTGGTCCTAAGAACGGTTTTGGAACCACTCTGTATACGAACTTCAGATTCTACGGTTCCCTGCTAGGTTGGAACAAAGCTAATAATTCTGACTGAAAGTTTTATCTTTCACAGGCAGAATGAAATTGATATTGTCACAACTACCCGCTTTACGGGGGTGACATGGGGGGTTTGTAGCTTTGGGGGTTGATGGAGAGAAACTCGCTCAGGTTATATAAAAATATAGATATATATTTTCCCAAATATAACCTTACATGTACGCTAATCCTATAAGATACATGACCCTTCGAACACTGGGGTCCTAAAAGGGAGCCACACGTCAATGCTGCTTGGGGGACTGTAGATTAGTTTATCGTCACCCTTATGCCTTGTCCAGAGGGGCGTTCCCAACGAGAGGTAATTGCACTGGACAACGATAAGGCTGAAGATACCCAGAGGGGCGTTCCCAACGAGAGGTACTTGCACTGGTTTAAGTCTGCCTTTGCTGCGGCTTGCAGCGCAATTTATATCAATTTATTGCTGAATTGCAATAAACATCCGACCGAATCGGCAATTAAATTAATGAGGTTGAATACCGGGTCCTCCTTTTCTAAGCAGCTAGTTGACAATATCAAGACCCTCACATCTTTTCTGAGCATATACGAAATTACATTTATGAATTTTGTGATTGTGATCTTCATCATAAAATTCACGAGCGCAGCGAGTTCCGCAGCCATCTACTCATCAATATACTGTTGAACTGTTCAAGTAAGATATTCACCTGAAAGGTGTAATTTTTAAACTAATGAACATATTGATAAATAGATGGCTGCGGAACTCGCTGCGCTCGTCCCGCAGAGGTCCACCCATAAGTTCCGCAACAATTCGCTCATTTGTACTTGAATAACTTGTCACATTATGTTACTAGTTTGGTTAAAGTAACATTACTAATTCCTGTTGAAAGGCAAATTAACAAAAAATGAATTATCTTACGATTTTGACTTTGTATAATAAGTTATTGTTCAAGTACAAATAAGTGGATTACTGCGGAACTTATGGGTAGACCTCTGCGGGACGAGCGCAGCGAGTTCCGCAGCCATCTACTCACCAATTTATTGTTGAACTATTCAAATAAGGTACAGGTAGAATGGTTCACAAAATCAGTAGTAAGATAGTATTTTTACAATTTTTGGAGGCGAATATATGAGAGACTGTTCAACGAAATATAGGCAAACTATATATTTTTGGAATCGGGGCATTGTGCTCTTCAAGAATATAGAATGAAATATAGGGCATCCCATTCAAAAAAAACTGGAAACATGCAAAATTTCACATTTCTGACATTCAAATTTTGTTTTTAACCATGGTTTCTAAAAATTCAGCCCAAAGTGAGCAACTTTTGTATTTACACCTTTCTTCTACTTGTAAAGGTAAAGGCTGTAGGTGGGGTGTCAATATATTAAAAAAACACCCTGTACAGATAAGTGGATTGGTACGGAACTTATGGGTGGACCTCTGCGGGACGAGCGCAGCGAGTTCCGCAGCCATCTACTCACCAATATACTGTTGAACTGTTCAAGTAAGACATTCACCTAAAAGGTGTAGTTGTTAAACTAATGAGAATAACTCACATTTGAGTGAGTCAGGTTAGTATCGTAATTAAACAACATATTGATAAATAGATGGCTGCGGAACTCGCTGCGCTCGTCCCGCAGAGGTCCACCCGTAAGTTCCGCAACAATTCACTCATTTGTACTTGAATAACTTGTCATATTATGTTACTAGTTTTGTTAAAATTAACAAAAACTGAATAATCTTACGATTTTGACTTTGTATAATAAGTTATTCCAGTACAAATAAGTGGATTACTGCGGAACTTATGGGTGGACCTCTGCGGGACGAGCGCAGCGAGTTCCGCAGCCATCTACTCACCAATATATTGTTGAAATATTCAAATAAGGTAGGTACAGGTAGAATGGTTCACAAAATCAATAGTAGGATAATATTTTTACAATTTTTGGAACCGAATATATAAGAGATTGTTCAATCAAATATAGACAAACTATATATTTTTGGAATAGGGGCATCGTGCTCTTCAAGAATATATAATTAAATATAGGGCATTCCATTTGAAAAAAGCTGGAAGCATGCAAAATTTCACATTTCTGACATTCAAATTTTGTTCCTGAGCATGGTTTCTAAAAATTCAGCCAAAACTGTATACCTAACTTTTGTATTTACACCTTTTTTCTACCTGTAAAGGTAAAGGTGGTAGGTGGAGTGTCAATACATAAAAAAACACCCTGTACAAATAAGTAGATTGTTGCGGAACTTATGGGTGCCGCAGCCATCTACTCACCAATATACTGTTGAACTGTTCAAGTTCTTACTTGAAAGGTGTAGTTGTTAAACTAATGAGAATAACTCACATTTGAGTGAGTCAGGTTAGTATCGTAATTAAACAACATATTGATAAATAGATGGCTGCGGAACTCGCTGCGCTCGTCCCGCAGAGGTCCACCCATAAGTTCCGCAACAATTCGCTCATTTGTACTTGAATAACTTGTCACATTATGTTACTAGTTTGGTTAAAGTAACATTACTAATTCCTGTTGAAAGGCAAATTAACAAAAAATGAATTATCTTACGATTTTGACTTTGTATAATAAGTTATTGTTCAAGTACAAATAAGTGGATTACTGCGGAACTTATGGGTAGACCTCTGCGGGACGAGCGCAGCGAGTTCCGCAGCCATCTACTCACCAATTTATTATTGAACTATTCAAATAAGGTACAGGTAGAATGGTTCACAAAATCAGTAGTAAGAAAGTATTTTTACAATTTTTGGAGGCGAATATATGAGAGACTGTTCAACGAAATATAGGCAAACTATATATTTTTGGAATCGGGGCATTGTGCTCTTCAAGAATATAGAATGAAATATAGGGCATCCCATTCAAAAAAAAACTGGAAACATGCAAAATTTCACATTTCTGACATTCAAATTTTGTTTTTAACCATGGTTTCTAAAAATTCAGCCCAAAGTGAGCAACTTTTGTATTTACACCTTTCTTCTACTTGTAAAGGTAAAGGCTGTAGGTGGGGTGTCAATATATTAAAAAAACACCCTGTACAGATAAGTGGATTGGTACGGAACTTATGGGTGGACCTCTGCGGGACGAGCGCAGCGAGTTCCGCAGCCATCTACTCACCAATATACTGTTGAACTGTTCAAGTAAGACATTCACCTGAAAGGTGTAGTTGTTAAACTAATGAGAATAACTCACATTTGAGTGAGTCAGGTTAGTATCGTAATTAAACAACATATTGATAAATAGATGGCTGCGGAACTCGCTGCGCTCGTCCCGCAGAGGTCCACCCATAAGTTCCGCAACAATTCACTCATTTGTACTTGAATAACTTGTCATATTATGTTACTAGTTTTGTTAAAATTAACAAAAACTGAATAATCTTACGATTTTGACTTTGTATAATAAGTTATTCAAGTACAAATAAGTGGATTACTGCGGAACTTATGGGTGGACCTCTGCGGGACGAGCGCAGCGAGTTCCGCAGCCATCTACTCACCAATATATTGTTGAAATATTCAAATAAGGTAGGTACAGGTAGAATGGTTCACAAAATCAATAGTAGGATAATATTTTTACAATTTTTGGAACCGAATATATGAGAGATTGTTCAATCAAATATAGACAAACTATATATTTTTGGAATAGGGGCATTGTGCTCTTCAAGAATATATAATTAAATATAGGGCATCCCATTTGAAAAAAGCTGGAAGCATGCAAAATTTCACATTTCTGACATTCAAATTTTGTTCCTGAGCATGGTTTCTAAAAATTCAGCCAAAACTGTATACCTAACTTTTGTATTTACACCTTTTTTCTACCTGTAAAGGTAAAGGTGGTAGGTGGAGTGTCAATACATAAAAAAACACCCTGTACAAATAAGTAGATTGTTGCGGAACTTATGGGTGCCGCAGCCATCTACTCACCAATATACTGTTGAACTGTTCAAGTTCTTACTTGAAAGGTGTAGTTGTTAAACTAATGAGAATAACTCACATTTGAGTGAGTCAGGTTAGTATCGTAATTAAACAACATATTGATAAATAGATGGCTGCGGAACTCGCTGCGCTCGTCCCGCAGAGGTCCACCCATAAGTTCCGCAACAATTCACTCATTTGTATGTACTTGAATAACTTGTCATATTATGTTACTAGTTTGGTAAAGTAACATTATTAATTCCTGTTGAAAAACAAATTAACAAAAAGTCAATAATCTTCCAAATTTTGACTTTGAAAAATAAGTTATTGTTGAAGTATAAATAAGTGAATTATTGCGGAACTTGGGTGGACCTCTACGCAGCCATCTACTCACCAATATATTGTTGAACTATTCAAATAAGGTACAGGTAGAATGGTTCACAAAATCAGTAGTAGGATAATATTTTTACAATTTTTTGAGCCGAATATATGAGAGATTGTTCAATCAAATATAGACAAACTATATATTTTTAGAATCGGGGCATTGTGTTC